AGTTGACAGACCATTTTAAGAAGTGCATGAAATTCAGTGACTAACCTCATGGTTTTCCCTTTTTTATGGGATGAATTATAAACCCCTATTTCCCGTGTATTTATGTAGAAAAATGCTCATAATTCCTCTCCCGGTCAACGACTTTGATCTTCGATTTACTCACCGTCCGGTCTCCGATCGACGAATCGAAACCACCATCGTGTTCGTTGTCGACCGAAGAACAAAACCCCTCAAACCTTTCATCGTGAATCGTCGTCGTTCGTCGTTAATTTCAGTCGAAAGTATCATCGGTATTAACTCGATTTCAGTTAGTTTTTCGTCGATTCACGACGATCCGACCATCCGTTTTTGACACCTCTCTCACCATCGTGTTCCTTGCATCGTTCCGAGTCCACCGGTGTTCTCCGTCACGCCTGCGCGTGGAGGGGGTGAGAAAATCAAAGTTTTCGATGTTTCGGAATCGAGCTCTCCACCGTTCAAAATTGTGAACCAAGCTCGATAAGTGTCTCAAAATGCCTTAACATATTTTTTAGGAAATTTTTCGGGAATTTTCCGACACTGTATCACTGTTCACGCGCCCCACACACCACCCCCTAAGAGCGGGCATCGTCTGGCCACAGGGTGATAAATGTGTAAAAAGCCAGGGTGTTAGTTTTGTAAATATTTGTAAAAGGGTGGTATATTTGTAATTAATTTATGTTAGGGTGATATTTATGTAAAACTGTTGACCTGCGTTGACCTTTGACAAGCATTGACCACTGTTGGCCAGAACTTTGATCGACGTTGACCGACCTTTGACTTTGATCGGGTATACCTATCATGATGTTTTCAACGTTCTAAGTCCAATTCCGCAGTCTGTTTTTCGAAATTCAAACCCGAAAGCCTTGAAATTGCCAGTCAAACCCGTTAACTTTGACCGAAAAGTCAAAATTTTCGAAAAGTCGTAGTTTATGTTTTTGACGTCCCAAATCCGTTTTTTGGGTCCATTTCGCCAAACTCGAACTCGATAAGTTGTTTTTGACTGATTTATCACCCGATTCGATCCGTTTTTCGGAATTAAGCTCAGATTTTTATGTAATTTTTGTTGATATGCATCTTAGGAATTATTGGAAGATGATTTCAAGATCGAGGGCGTTCGAATGGAATTTAATGGTCGATCAGTATTACACAAAAATCGAGGTAATACTTTACTACCTCTTTATGCTTTATGGAACATGTTGATATTGGCAAATGCATGAATAAGATAATGTTGGTCACTTATGTGGAGTTAAATAATGAAGTTCTACACTCGATTCGAATACGATAAAAATTCGATAACTGATTATGATTCAGATGACTTTTATAAGAAATTGAGAGATTGTTAGAATTAAAATTGCAAGTTCTGTGTTTAGTGATAAAGAAATCAGTTTAGATCTATATCATATAATTTATTTCATCAAAGGTATTTATATGAGAAATTATGAGAATATTCCGATAGAGTAAAATTACGAAAGTACCCTTATGTTGTAGGATGACAAGAATTGTCCCTAGAAGTTGGTTAATAACTCTGAAAAGACATATTGATCTGATATAATTACAGAGGTGCATAAGAAATGATAGTTTTGCTTAGAAAATTTGGATAACTGGTTTTTAAACCCAAAAATGTTTGTGCAAGATGCTAGAAGACTGTTAAGGGAATCATTTCAAGATCAGAGAATGTTCAGGAAAGAAATTAATCATATGATCTCTAAATTATATTATTTTCGTTAAAAGTTAATACCGAAGTTATCTGATTAAGAAATTATGAAAATGCCCTTGAGAGATAAAAAAAGTCTGAGTTGACCTTGAATGAGAAATCACTTTGAGGATTAGTTCTTAACTCGATAAATTACGGATTTAATTATTAAGATCCGTATTTGTATAGAAGAATTTCCTGATAACATGTTTGTAACTTCTGAGAAGGCAATTAACCTAAAAATGTATGGGTTAAGAATAAATTAGCGAGGGTGCTCTTTTGTTAGAATTGTTCGAAAGGTCTGGAAAAGATGATACGTTTGAATTAAATAATAAGATCGGATGGTAGGAAATTATTGAAATACATTGGATCGGTAAAATGACCAAAATACCCCTGTAATGGAAATGAACCAAGAATATCACCAAGCCCATGAATGAATGGATATCCTCAAGCTTTTAAATGAATGGAAAAACATTGAGCACCAAAATGACCTAGACTAAGAAAATGTCTTGAATTAATTAAGAAATTCAAATAAGCATGGATGTTGTATTACTCTTAAAAGTTATGGACCGCAACTTAAGTCGGTCAACCAATGCTAGTGATATATCAGTACTTGAATGGCATAGGTAACACTTGAATGCTAGTTCGTCTCCTCAAGTTTGGATTGATGATAATTATGGAAGTACTTAGCTCAGCTCAACGCTAGAGCGCATTCGATAGTAAGAAATGAATATTCGTGAGGTAAATCAACCACAAATACCAGAATGATTTGATTATAGGACTAAATTGAATTGATCGGAAGTACAATATATATCTGAAATTTAGAAACGTCTGAATTACTCTGGAAAACTCTGAAGAAATCGGGATAGACTTGATTGCTAAATGAACTAAGTAACCTCAATGACTGAGGATTAAGTAAGTGATTGGGATAAGTCTGGAAACTCTGATGAGTTTGCATAGTATACTAATCCTATGGATTATAAACCACAAATCAAGTACGTTGACATTTCCTAATATCGTTGAAATGTGGAAATGAAATAAATACTATGGAATATATGTTCGTTCCCTTAAGATTTATTCAGTGATGATTCTAACGAGGATATTTGGATAATAAATTTTGGTATTAAAGAGTGAGTACCCTAGAAGGGTAAGAAATTGACCAGTCAATAGACATCAGTTCTGGGAGTTGTTCGATAATTTGATCGATCAATATAAATGGTAAATGCATTGAATCTTCGTTTCTCCTTATCAGCTCAAATCACTCCGGTCATGTTTGATTCATACAAGTAACTCAGATGCAAAGGATTCTGTATACTCCAGATTGGTTGAGTAATGAAATCACTCTCCATAAATATGAATTTATAATTCATCAGTATAAATGTTCATGAACACCTTCTTGATGCACCTGAATCATAGTGGGATTCTAAAGTAACGATTTAAATGTCTGATTTGAATGACTAGTAATTGACTCATTTCAATAAGACCTTGTTCTTGGGATCTGATCAAAAGACATCAGATTCATGTTATCTATGCTGATAACTGAAAAATGCCTCTGATAAATATTGAGATTTCTCTAGTGTGTTCCTTATATTTTAATAAATTGTTTTATTGTTTTAACATGAAGTACACTGAAATCTATTATTATTGTTTTATGGATACACCGACTTAATGGTGATGGCTTATGGAATTATATCATGGCATAAATTGTATCTTGGAGATACTGATTTGTAAAGTACAGCTTTGATCAAGCTGAAAAAATTTATGGACCTAATGTGACTCTTAGGTAGGCTCTGCGACCCTGAGATCATTCTCGGGTAGGCCCTGCTGCCCTAAGATGTGTTCTTAGGTAGGCCTCATGGCCCCGAAACTTTCTTGGGTATGCTCTCAGGCCCTAAGATGTTCCCTTAGGTTAACTCTTCATACGATGGTTTTAAAATACGAGTTTAAAAAGCTCCACTACAGTATGATTTATGAGATTTACCGAACTATCATTTGATTAGTGTACCTATTATGATTTTATCGTACTGTTGGAACACACTAGACATCCTATTCGATCTCTTAAAAACGTGATACTATGAATGCTTCCTATGAATTGACATATTCATGGCTTCTATTCGATGAACTACCAGTGGAACCTCAGATTATTTCGAAAATTTGTATACGTCTGATTGAATAAGGAAATTATGGCTTTCAATTTATCTGCATGTCCTATAGCATCATCTGGTAGTTCTGTATTACTGAGCTTTCCGAAGCTCACTCTATTACTCACCATTGCAGATTAAAAGAATTGTACCAGTGCAGCTATCGACTTTAGTAAGGGAGTTCTTCCGGCGTTGTTTGCAGAGTATGATACCTGTGATTAGGGGGCATGTAATTGTATTTTGTTTTATATAAGAGTCTAAAAATATGTTTTATTTATACATATTGATAAATCATTTTATAAGTTACATGTTTTGATAAAAGTTTTAAATTTTTCGCTATTTTTACGGTGGGTCGCTCCGGTGGCCCTAATGTGACACCCTGGATCGGATCGGACCATCCGCATCAGTCTAAAGGGGTTACACCCTCAATTGCTAAATCTAACAAATGACAACCCAAATTGTTAAGACCCATAACCACACCACTCATATCTATTTTTTGCACCATTCATGATACCAATTGTCAAATTTCTCTCCAAAATAAAATTTATTAAAATCATAATTTGAATACTTAATAAATAAATAAATTATGAATATTAAAGATAATTATTATGGAGTTTCACGAGTAATAAAAGTTATTCTTTCGAGTATTATGAGTGCAGAAAGTTTATATAGACAATGAACTTAATGCGTATATTCTTACACGAGGATGATGATTGAACTACATAGAATTAATAGTATAATTATAAATATTTTTTTACCCCACTTTTTAAAAATAATGTCAAACATACCCCATAAATTGGGCTGGTTAAAAGCAAAATGAAATATAATAACCCTTTAAGTTTTGTAGTTTATCTTTTATATATACACGAGTTTATCTTATAACGATATAGAAAAACTAACAAAGACAAAGGACAAGATTGAAAATAATAATAATAAAAAGAAATCAACAATTATTTTTTTTTCTTTGACATACAATCAGAATGTTCACCATTGCAATACTAGCTCTTTTCAATTTCATCCCTCCCAACACAATCCCACACCCTAAAATCCCCACCAAGTTTTGCCCCCAAACTAATTACAAAAAAGGAAAAAAAGTTAAACTATTTTCAATTTTCATCATAATAAATTGAAAAACAGTCCAATTCCCCAAACAAAACCCACACAATAATATTAATTAATCAATTTTAAAAAATAAAAAAGAATTAAAATGTCACCCTCCTATCTTAGCATCCCACGTGTCCCTTTTTTCAGCCCCTTCAATTTTTCCTTTTTGTCATATAGGGACCCCTACACTAATAGAAAAACAGCAATTGGGAAACACATAACATGAAAAAAATAATTTGCCCCCCAACCCCATTGTTAGATAGCTTTATTGCATATTTATTTATTTTTATTTTACTTTTCTGCACCAGAACTTATAACTGCCATTTCTTTGATCAACTCATAAGTAGTTCTTCATTCTCCGGCGGTGGCAGTATCTGTTGGGACGGTGCATGGTGGTTGTTATTGCTGTTGTTCATTTTCTTGAGGCTTTGTTGTTGCTGATAGACTTGTCTTAGTCTCTCAATTTCCTTCTTCAATGCATCTTGATGAGCTGAAATTTCAATACAAATAGGTAAATTGTACTGCTTAGCAATGTTAATCATTTACCCAAAGTATATTTATAAAAAAAAAAACCTTATATAAAAATAGGAAATTTGCATTTATGTGAAAAATAAAATATGCAATAGACTTTAATGGAATTAATTCAAATAATTGCATTGCAAAAAAGTATCTCATCATGAAAAGGACTATTTTTCTATTAACAAAAATATTTAAGCAATTAAGCTAATAATACTAATTAAATATACAATTAAGAAACAAGTGTTACCATCTTTGAAAATCTTGTCTTGAGCCAAAGCTGCAATTCTTTGCTTCAAAGCACTATTGTCAACATTGAGAATCAGTCTTTGATGATCCAAGAATGCAACCCTTGGTGATAATGCTGATACTTCAGTCTTCATTTTTTGTATATCAAGAAAAAAAATCAGAATTTATTTATATTTTAATAAAAAACACAAGAATACGGATAATATGTTAGTCTAACACCTGTAATGTTGTGACGCTCCTTTCAAGCTCTGAAATATATTGCAGCTTTCTCACTCTTGATCTTTGTGCTGATTGCCGGTTTGCCAGAATTCTGTTCATTGTGCAAATCAATGAAAGGTTTAAAAATGGTGAAAAATTAATGGGGTTTGATTGTTTCTGTTTTTTGTTTTACCTCTTTACCCTCTTCGGATCAACGATGGAGTCGCCATTGGAGTTCGATGGAGGCTGAGTAGCTTGTGGTTCAGTTTTGCATGAGCTCTCCACCTCTCCCGGTTCATTCTTGGGCTGTTGCAGATATAGCGACGGCACCGGTTTCTCATCGTTGTTGCTGTTTTGATCCGACGTCGGCGTCGAAGGGTTCGACGAGGATACGGTCGGGGCAACAGCCATGGTGATGGCGACGTCGTCGGAGAACATAGACATGAGCTGGTCGTCATCAAGGCGGTCGAACACATTGGTCTCGGTCATCATGGCATTGTTGTTGCTATTATTATTATTGTTGTTGGAGTCCCTACATTCTTCCATCAATGGTTGCTCGAGGAAAGCAATGGAGTCACTGATGGAACGATGGTGAGCCCCGCGGCGTGCCGACGAGAAGTCAAGGAACTCATCCACCCAGGAGGGTGGTGGTTCGAGTCATTGATGGTGGTGGAAACAAAGTTTGGCATAGCGGGCAATCTTTGGTGCGGGAATGAAGGCCAATTTTGGGTCATGTTGGGTATTTTTGGAGGTAATTGCGCCATTCGAAACTCAAAAACAAAAGAGGAAGAGAGAGCACGAAAAACGAAGTCAATCTTAATCACTAAAAGCTAACCAACCAACTAACCATAGCATAGCGTATGAGAGAGTGATCTTGAAGGCAATGATGTTAGAATGGGGGGATAAGAGTAATTTTATTAGTTTATATTTGAAGGGGAGGTGGGTCACATGGGGGAGATTAGGGACAGCTAGCAACAGCTGGGGGCTTTTTTCCGATGGGAAAGTCGCAGTGTGAGTTTAATTTACTGGTGGAATCAGCACCACCACGTGCCGATGTGACCCCTTTCATTGCCCTCAACTCTTTTCTTTATTATTTTACATACACAAACATTATCTATTAACCTTTTCCAACATAAGGTATATGCATTTGTGTATTATATGCTCTTTTTTCCTATATATATATATATATATATATATATATATATATATATACATCCACAACTTCCTTGATATTCATCTTCATTCATTCCACACACATCACTTCCACACCTATTTCACCTCAAATTATGCTCAGTCTATATACTATGCATAAATTATTAAGTTTTAAATTTTTAAAAAATACATGAACTAAAATCGATCAAATTATTGTACAGGGACTACATTTGCAACTTAGGCACAGCATATGGGCTAATAATAGAATTCGACTCCTATTTTAACTTTCTTACATTATCTTTTAGGTTCCACCCACTCCTCAAAGTTTGATCTATAGACTATATTTGAAATTGAAATCTCAAAATATTCTAATTGACGCCACACTATATCAATATTGTCTCAGTTAAGTATTTTTCTTAAATCTAGCCTAACCTTTAACTTGAACATTAAATGTCAATTTGAACATGGCATGGAGTATATTTAAAATACATGTTTAACTCCTGCATGGACAACTTAAACATGTTGCGTTTGAAAAGAAAAAAATGAAATACTTGACAGCTAGGCTAAGGGATAAGTGAATATAATATTGACACATTGAGGATTTAATTAAAATATTTTGAAGTTTAGAGACATTTAGAATTTTAATGATAGTTTGGGGAAGTTTGATGTAACCAACCCTTTTTTGTTAATTATTTATATAGAACTAACCTAAAACTTGTGAAATTTTACTCACGGATGATTGCTAATATTATATTAAATAGTAATTTATGAAAAAAAATGATGGAAGAGATCTAACACCATTTTCTAGAAAATAATGTGAACTAACCAATAAATTGTCTATATGATATCTATTAATTTTGTATCTATGACGTGTATTAATTAAATTATAGAAAATAGATATAATCCTAGTTGGAAAGTAAAAATGGAAAAAATAGATATCGGTCCATTTTCTATGAATTATGTTAATTTGAAATTTTGTGCAAATTCAGAAGCATTCAATGAATTATGGTACCAAACTGTTGGTAAACCATTGTTATTAAAAGTTGCTGATAAATTTAGGTTAAAATAACATAATATATATGTATATAAAATTAGTGAAGGATGTATGTGTATTTTAGAGTGGGTACGTGTCCACTATGAAATATAAATTTATATGTTAGTTATTTATTTTATTGAAAGTGTCCACTCTAAAATTTTATTTATGTCTACTTCATACACAATTTTTTTTTTATTAATACACGTGTCAATCCTGAAAAATATTTTGAATATGTCACTACATACGGTAAAACCCTATTAAGAACTTGCTAGTAATATTAATTAAAAGAGTTTAGGGAAAAATATTGGTTATTCCATTTATATTCTCAGCATTTGTAATGCATGTGCCTACTAATAAGTACATGGTATATTGGGTACATATCATTTTATTGACATTGGAAGAAAATCTAATATATATTTTACGCCTAACAAATAATTATATATTTTTAATTTATCTTTAAGGTATTAAGTTTGAGTCCTATTCTATGTAAATTTTGTGTAAATTATCTGGTTAATTTCACTTAATTTGAATTAGTTGTTTAATTAATTATAAAATCTACTTTTAATAACAATTGATTTTGATATCAAGTGATTGTTAAGAACAACAGTTTAGATAATAAGATTTGGATATATTTAAAGATTCAATTTTTAGATTAAGATAGCATTGTGATTCGGATGTTAAAATTATTGACGATTGTAGATTCCAAGAATAGGTAAACGCCGTTGAATATTCATTATCCAAATAGTATTTTAAAAGCACTTACATTCAATTTTTTTTAATACTAACATTTAGTTTTGTTTTTATAAAGAAAATGAACATCGTTAAAAATTTCCTTGTAACATAAAATAAAATCAATTAAGTTAACGGCAGGGAAAAAGAGTACTCAAACATATATATTCACTAACATTTAGATTTAGATTATAATCACTATCCACTATCCACTATCCGAAGCACATACATAAGGTAAAACTAGAATATGAAATCTCAAAGGTTATGGCCTCAACCTTGTCATTAAACTGATGCCTTGATAACCTCCTAAATTTTATAAAATTTCATTTTGGTCCTTAAAACAAATTTCCTAAAATGGAGTACATTGTGTTTGCCCTCCTAAATTCACCAAATATTAATTTTAATCCTTAAAATAAATATCTCAAAAAACAATAAATGGAAATATTTTATTATTAGTCCCAATTAAAAATTGAAAATTCAACTGAGCCCTTAAAATCTATTGATTTACGAAAATTTTCATTTTTTGACTATCATAAAAAGTAATGTTTCAGTTTAAACTCTTGAACATATATATTTTTTAATCTTGACCACCTAAATTTTTATAAGTTTATCTTCACAACAATATAAATTTTCTGACTTCGTTATTGGCATTATAGAGAATATAAGTGTATTATGAAGTATGCATATATAGAAAAAAAAATAATGCATGTAGTGGGAAGATTTAGGGAATTTGGGATAGGGGATGAGCTGTGAAAGAAAGTGAAGTTGTAAGAATCATGTCCTTTCTTCTTCCCCATGTGAACTGTTTGTAAGAGCCCCCACTCCTTTCCCTTTGCTTTGCTTTGTCCCCAAATCAGACTCACATGGACTCTAATGTGACCCTTATTGTTTATTATTATTTTAATTCCCCCCCTAGCTTCTTGGTACCTTCCATCATCTCATGATGGCATTTATGTTGGAATTTTTTATTAAAAAACAAACAAACCCTAATCATGATTAGTTGAAAAATAATGAGGCATGTTCAGTAACCCCTCTGGCAAGTAAAAGTTTGTCTATGATTAATTTATTTTATCCATATTCTAATTTGTACTTTACTTTAATAATCACATAATCATACTTTAACTTCTATAATATATATATAAAGGGTTTCGGTTTGAAATACGAAATAATTATAAATATTGAATTCATCTATTGTTTTCCATGATAAAATGAAATATTATTCACTAAGAGGTTTTGAGTTCGAGTAGTTGCGTTTATAGGGTCTATATGTGTTGTAAATAGATCAATAACGTTCTAAACAAATATTACTTTATATTCACTCAGACTATTTGTAACATCCCAAATTACGGGTTAGTGACTAAATTGTAAAATTTCAGAATTTAGAGATAAAAGTAGAATAATTGAATAGTTCAATGATTTATGTGGAGATATTTCCTGAAAGTTGTTAGTAAATATTAAAGGACTCAAAGGGCAAATGAGTCATTGAACAAGGAAAATAATTAAATAATAATTAATGGGTATTATAATATCCATGTGGAAAATGATTGAAGAGATAAGTTTCCAGGCAATTCTCTTCTCCACGTGAAAGCTCAAGCAAAAGATATTGAGCCTAAACAAGTTCCGGAACAATCAAAAAATTAGGATTGAATCAAAGCAAGGCTAAGGTGAGTGCAATTTAAATTGTACTTATGTTATTGAATAAACATTGGCTTGCGATGAGCCAGTGACGGAGTTACTATGGTAAGAAGTGACTCCTAAAATGTTATATGATTGATGTGATTCTTATGTGACATAATTATATATTTGCATGTATATACAATATATGAATACATGAATAAGATATGACATATGTGCTTACATGAACACATGAGAAATAATATAAGCTATAGGAATATGAAAGAAGCTAGGTGATAAGGACATAGGGAATGAAATGAATACATGGCAATGAAATATGAGTAATATGTTATTGTATGTGTGACATGATTTGAATGAATGATATGAATATGTGATATATGAACATAGAAGATTAAGTGAATGAACATAGACGAGATATAAGAATAAGATATGAATAAAATGATATGAGTTATATGGAAAATATATGTGAACAAGATATGATATATATATATATATATGTTCATGTGAAACCATGCAAAGTGATACGAGCTATGTGACATATGATATGAAATCATATGATAAGTGATATGAATTACACGAAAATAAACTATGTGATAATATGCACATGTGATATGAGATATATGTTTACAAATACATATGGTATGTGACAGAAGAGAAAGAATATGTGATCATATGAAATGTGATAAAGAGCTATGTAAAGAACAAGTGATATGAAATGTTATAATGATAGTGCCCATGTTATGTGATATGAGAGCTAGGGGTATAGTTGGCATACCAAGAGTCGAGGGTTTACCTATGTTCTATGGAACATATGGACATAATTACCTATGCCTTTCGGGACATATGGACAATATACCTATGTTCTAAGGAACATATGGACAGTTTACCTAGGTTCTTCAGGACCTATGGACAGTTACCGAGGTTCTTTATGACCTCTGGATAGGTCCTCCGAGACATTTATACGAGCTGTGGTGACAACATAGTGGTGCACAACCTCAATGTACTCACATACCTTAAGTTCTCAAAGTATACATGGGATTTTAAGAGAGTAAATAAATCAGTTTATGTGATACTATGTTTGCTCTGTTATGAAATGATGTATATGCTTATATGATAAAAGAAATTAGTGATAGTAATATAAGTACCGATAAGCATGTTAATGATATATGTATATGTGTGAATTGATTATATGAAAGGATACACGATATACAAAAATG